TGATGCTGATGAGGATGATGAGGATGATGATTATGATGCTTGTGATCATGATGATGTTGCCGATTATGCTAATGATGATGTGTTTTTTTATGCTGCTGCTTCTGAGCATGATAATGATGATGCTGCTGCTGAGGATGAGGATGAGGATGAGGATGAGAATGAGAGGGTGCTGGAATTGCTGCAGAGAGAGAGAGAGGGTGAGAGTGAGAGAGAGAGAGAGAGCGAGAAAGAGAGAGAGAGAGAGAAAGAAGAAATACAGAGAGAGGGAGGAAGGGAGGAAGGGATGGAGGAAGAGACAGAAAGAGAGCAAGAGAGGGGGAGGGATAAAGATAACTGTGGATCAATGAATCTGTATACATATAGAGAGAGAGAGAGAGAGAATCCAAGCACCAAGACAATATATATATATAGAGAGAGAGAGAGAGAGAGAGAGAGAGACAGAAAGAGCGAGAGAGACGGCAGTTCCGGTTAGTGGAACGGGGCGGCGGGGGCCTCCCCCAGCACGTATCGTTCCACAAAACCTAGTTCTGCCAATGCCCGACTCTTGGCCGATCTTGGGGGCCCCTTGCGCCGTCTTGAGCCGTCGGAATGCCGGGAAGGAGCAAATGCCAAAATGTTTCAATAACTTTAGGACAATCAATGATTTTGGCCTCTTCGTGCCCTCCTGGAAGACCTCCTGGACGCCGTTTGAGCCGTCTTGGAGGCCTCTTGGGGGCCTCTTGGGCCGTCTTGGGCCATCTTGAGGCCATCTTAGGCCGTCTTGGGTGCATCTTGGGCCGTCTTGGAGCATGCTTCTTGGGCCGTCATGAGGCCATCTTGGAGGCGTCATGGGCGATCTTGGGGGCCGTCTTGAGCCGTCGGAATGCCGAAAAGAAACAAATTCCAAAATCCTTCAAACACCTAAGGAAAATTAATGATGGCCTCTTGGAGGCCTCTTGGGCCGTCTTGGAGGCCTCTTGAGGGCCTCTTGGGCCGTCTTAGGTCATCTGGAGGCTATCTCAGGCCGCCTTGGGTGCATCTTGGGCCGTCTTGGAGGCATCTTGGGTTCATCTTAGCCGCCTTGGAGGCCATCTTGGGTGTCTTGGAGGCCTCTCGGGCCGTCTTGGGGCCCTCCCGAGGGCTCCTTGGGGGCCTTTTGGGCCGCCATGCGGCCATCTTGGAGACCTCTTGGGCGATCTTCGGAGAATCTTGGGCCGTCGGAAGGCCGAAAAGGCGAAAATGCCAAATTTGTCAACAACCTAAGGGAAATCAATGAGTTGGGCCTCTTCGGGCCTTCCTGGACCTCTTGGAGGCCTCTTGGGCCGTCTTGGAAGCCTCTTGGGGGCCTCTTGGGTCATTTTGGGCCGTCTTGGGCCATGTGAATCGTGGCCTCGGGGGTGCGAATATGTTTATTCTACGCGGGATCGTTCGTAACGTATTTTGCATACTTTACCAGGGATTGTTGCGTCGTGAGCGCGAATTTCATTTATTTTTAAGTATATCACGCCCCCCCCCAGAAATTCAGAGCACACAATTCGGGCGTGGTAACCAGGGCTCCTCCCCCTCGCGCGGACAGTAGCAATTCACAGTAGGAAGCAGAAAGCAATACTGAAACATTGCAAGCTGGAACTGGTGCAGGGAGCAGCGAACCTAGTCCTCGCAGCCTGATGGCCCCGCCAAGAAGCCGGCGGATTTCCTTCTGCGCCCCCCTGCAGGACCCCTTCCTCCAGGACTGGCTTCTCATTTCGAGTCGTTTTCTGAGGGCCCTGGGGCTCGGAGGGGGCCCCCGGAGGCCGAAAAGAGCAAACCCATCCGGCGTGATTGTCTCACAACGAGAGGATGTCAAGGCGAGGAGGAGGAGGAAGGGGAGGAGGAGGAGGAGGAGGAGGAGGAGGAGGAGGACCAGCGCAAACCCAAGAGTCATCCATGATGATGGAATCAACCCTCCCTCCAAGCTCCCTCTTCACAGGCCCCTGCAAGGGTTCATGTCCACTGAGGGAACTGCCTCGTTGGAAGACAACCGTTTGAAGACCCAGACGCATGCCAAAGCATTGTTCTCGGGATTCCAACGCCACGGATCAACCTGACAGTTGCGTCTTGACGATCCTGAATCGTGCCAGAACACCGTTCCCGGGATTGCAACACCGCGAATCAACGTAATTGTTGCGCCCTCGTAATTCATAATCCCGAATATTCCAACACGCAATTTCTGGTACGCTGATCGTGGGAATCCGCGAAGCTCTTTCACATTTAAAGAGCGTGTGTGCGCGGCGCTAAGGCGAGAGCCACATTTTGAAAAGGAGCTGCCCTCAATCCGTGACACCCTTGCAATGTTTGAAACGAATGTGCACGGCGCTAAGGCGAGAGCTACATTTTGCAAACGGGTCGACCTCAATCCGTGAAGCGCTTGCAAATGTTCAAACGAGTGCGCGCGGCGCTAAGGCAAGAGCCACATTTAAAAAACGCCCTCAATGCGTGGCATTGTTTTCAATGTTTAAGCTTCAGGGTCATGTTTTGGGAGGAAGTCTCAGGGAAACGTCTGGACCGCCCTAAAAACTGGCCTCGAGGTGCGACAGGGAGAAGTTATGTATAAGGAAAAGGAAAGGAGGAGGAAGAGGAGGAGAAGGAGGAGGCGGAGGCAGAGGCGGAGGTGGAGGCCGAGGCGGAGGCGGAGGCGGAGAAGAAGGAGGAGGAGGAGGAGGCGGAGGGGAGGGGGAGGGGGGGAGGAGGGGGAGGAGGAGGGGGAGGGGGAGGGGGAGTGGGAGGAGGGGAGGCGGAGGAGGAGGGAGAGGGGGGGAGGGGAGGAGAAGAAGGACGAGAGGAGGCGGAGGCGGAGGCGGAGGCGGAGGCGGAGGCGGAGGCGGAGGGAGGAGGAGGAGGAGGAGGAGGAGGAGGAGGAGGAGGAGGAGGCGAAGGAGGAGGAGGAGGCGGAGGAGGCGGAGGAGGCGGAGGAGGCGGAGGAGGCGGAGGAGGCGGGGAGGGGGAGGGGGAGGGGGAGGGGAGGGGGAGGGGAGGGGGAGGGGGAGGGGAGGGGGAGGGGGAGGGGGAGGGGGAGTCGGAGGGGGATGGGGAGGGGGAGGGGGAGGGGAAGGGGAGGGTAGGGGGGACGGAGAGGTGGAGGGGGAGGGGGGAGGGGGGAGGGGGAGGAGGGAGGAGGAGGAGGAGGAGGAGGAGGAGGGGAGGAGGAGGAGGAGGAGGAGGAGGAGCCGCAACCTGCAGGGCTCCCTGGCCCGAGCCGGCCTGGGCGTGGCACCGCCGCAATGCCGACGACACAGGCGGAGAGCCCGTCCACGTCCACGGACGCCGAGGACCCCTGGCTTTTGGCTGCCGCCCCCAGCGCGCAGCCAGCTCCTTCTCCCCCTCCTCCTCCACCTCCTCCTCCGCCGCCCCCAGCGCGCATCTAGCTACCGCGCGCATGCAGATGCTTTGTTTCTCGCGGCTCTTGCTCAGAAGGAGGGCGAGTGGCAGGGGGCCTTGGGGTAGGGGGGCCTTGGGGGGCCTCGTGTAGCAGCGGTGGGCCGCAGCTGGGAGAACTGGTGCGCTTCTGGACCCTGAGAGGGATCGTCCCGAGACCGATTTTGAGCTGCCGCCGTCTCAACTCGCCCTCCTCCGAATCATGTGCAGGGAGCGTTCTTCTGGGCGGCCCTTTCTGTCTTGGAGGCTCATTCCAGGACGGTGCCTGAAATCCTTGGCGCTTGCGTCCCAGTGCACGACCTTCTGCAGCGAGGAACCAGCGAGTGACAGGGCCGGCCGTGGTCGTCCGAGGTTTCGTACGCCCCACGGCACAGTCGCAGTCGCGCATCATGACGGGCACCTGCCGTCCAGAGGTTCCGACCCGCAAGCGCTAAGTCGGGCCTGTCCCTCTGCAGGAGGAACAATCAAAAATAGTCAAAACGTTGTCTGGGGACGATTCTCGATTATTTTTGGACTATGTTCGAATACTTGTTGAGTATTTTCATTGTTCCTCCAAAGTCCGCCTGTAGGAGGACATACCCGACCTAACGCAAGCGCCTCTCCTCGTGCGGCTAGGAGACCTGAGGTCGGCCGTCCCTGCTGCCTGTTGCTAGCACCCTCTTCCAGACAACGGGGAGAGGCGGCGAGCAGAAGAGATCATCAGAGGAGGAAAAGGTACCCATACAGTAGAGGGAAACAATTAGTGAACACCCCCCCTGCCCCCCAAACTCAAAGTTGGCACGCGGGGGGGAGACTACGGTCGAGGTGCAACTCATCAGACCCACCGCCAACTTTGAACATTGGGGGGAGGGGGAGGCGTTCACAGATGAATGTGGCATGAGTGTTCGCTATTTTTTTCCGAGGCCTGTATCGCTACACTTCGCCCGTTTCCCCCTTTTTGGGCCTCCAGGGCGGCCCTCGTCGCCACCGCGGGATTCGTCTCGAAATCCTGGTCAGAACGCACCCCGGGAGAGGTCCGGGGAGTAGCCGTCTGTACCTTTTGGTTTCCCCAGATCATGATCAACGTCAGGGGGGGAAAGGTTCAGGGGGGATGCATCGATCCCCCGATTGCCCTTGATCGCCTACGAGGGGGGGCCGGGGGGCCGAGAGTCTACGCCACAGGTTCGCTAGCGGGGGCGGCTCGCCGATCTCGACGTATCGCCGAGTCCGGGTCGATGTCCCCCCCCCCCCCCAGCGAGCAAGTCCTCTTGCTGCCCTTCTAGAAATGGCGCAGGAGTCCAGCATAGACGGAAACTTGGCTCCGTGGAGCTCCTCGGCTGGATGTCCGGCATGGGGTCCAGGACTCACCGAGGACAAAATAAGCTCTGCCCCTAATTACTTTCACGAGAAAGACGTGGCCTCACTGAGATCCCCGTCTGTGCATTAGGGATGAAGCATCTGGACGCGTTGGCTCGATGCGTCTGCAGACAGGACCCCCTACTATTCCTAATGCTGTCAGCTCTCCCAAAAGGTCCTCCTGATGTTTTTGGCCCTCCTGATGTGTTTGGTCCCTCCTAATGCTTTTGGCCCTCCTGATGTTTGGTCCCCCCCCAAAGGGTTCGGGGCCCATGCTGGTGGCTCGAGCGCTGCCGGCCGCCCTCGCTCGTGGGCCCTCGCCGCGGCCTGCCCGCCCCCTCTGCTGCTCAGGCCGCGCAGGACAGCCACACGCCCGAGCAGAAGAGGACCGCCGGGGGAGGTGCGGTGGGGGCGGCGGCAGGCGCGGCGGCGGCGGAGAGGAGGGAGGAGGAGGATGGAGAAAGGAGGAGGAGGATGGAGAGGAGGAGGAGGAGGAGGAGAAATGAGGAGGAGGAGGAGGATGAGGAACGGTGCAAGCCCACGACGCGTCCACGGTGCTGCAATCAACGCTCCCTCCAAGTTTCCTCGTCCTTGGGCCCTACACGAATCGATCATCATTGTTGGAGCTGCGACATTGGAAGACAACCGTCTTATACATCATCAACTGCGACAAAACACAATTCCTAAGACTTCAGGTTTGCGAATCAACGCGACTGTTGAACTTCGACAATCTTGAATCTGCCAGAAAGCCGTTCGGGGGACTTCAACACCGCGAATGAAAGTGATAGTTGCGTCCTGATAATCCAAAACTTCGACCATGCGAACCCATGAAACTGTCACACGCTTTCAAAACGACGGCGCGCGGCGCTAAGGCGAGAGCCACACTTTGAAAACCACCCACCCTCTATCCGCGAAGCTGCTGCAAACGTTGCAGACGAATGCTTGCGGCGCTAAGGCAAGAGCCCCATTTCTAAACCGCCCGCCTTCCATCCGTGAACTTGCTGCAAACTTAAGCGAATACGCGCGTCGCTAAGGCGAGAGCCACAGTTTGAAAACCACCTTCCCTCCATCCTTCAAACTGTTGCAAATTCTAGACGCTTCGCGTAACCCCACCAGCCTCGCACTCTTCCCGCGCCCGTTCCCACCTGTCGACGATAAGATGCGTCTCCTTGAATTTAGTTCGGTTCTGTGCACGTGCAACTGCGAGCATGCTTGCAGGTGCGGTCGGCTGTCGACAGTGACGGCTGGATTCGCAATTATCTGGCTCTGTGCCCCAGACGACCTGATTGACCCGCCCTCTGGAACCGTCCTTTGGGCCGCAGATCAAAAAAAGTAACCCCACCAGCCCATCCAGAAACGATGCCCAGAGGAATTGCCTCGATCAGGGAAGTGGGCAGCACACAGAGGAAGGGTCCCCCAGTGGAGGCCTCTTGGAGCGTCTTGGGGGCCTCTTGGCGGTCCCAGACGCATCTTAGAGCGTCTTGGGTGCCTCGGAGAGCTTCTCAAAGGCCTCTTGGGGGTCTCTTGGGAGCCCCTTGGAGGCCTCTTGGGCGCCTGTTGGGGCCTCCTGGGGCCTCCTTGGCGCCTCTTGGGGCCATCTTGAAGCGCTCTGGGGAGCCTTGGGAGCGCTCTTGGGGCCATCTTGGAGGACACCGATCAAACAAGAGGGGAGCATCAATTGATTAACATTGCCCCTCGGGAGCCCAAAAAGTCGCCTCTTGGGGCGCTCTTGGGGCGCTCTTGGAGCGCTCTTGGGCGCTCTTGGGGCCGTCTTGGGGCTCTCTTGAGCCTCTCTTGGAGCCCTCCTAGGCCATCTTGGAGCCACCTTGAGGCCTCGGATGGCCATCGGAAGCGAAAAGGCGAGAGAAAACCAACAGCAGTGATCTTCCGAAGGTTTGGGAAGGATTTGGGCCTATTTGGGCCTCCTGGAAGAGCTCTTTGGTCACTTGGAGCGGTGTTGGAACCTCTTGGGCATCTTGGGATATCTTGAGCCATCTTGGAGGTCATCTTGGGCTCTCCCAGGCACTCTTAGAGTCATCTTAAGGAGTACCTCCCCCAGGAGGCCAAAATGGGGCCACAACCTCAGTAAAACCAATGATTTTGGCTTCCACCTGCCCTCCACCCTTCACTCTGTTGCAAATTTCAAGCTTGTGGGTCATCAAACGCCCGGCCCCCGCCCTACCTGCACGTTAGAGGGTGCGACAGGGAGGACTTATGTTTAAGAGAGGGGACGGTGGATGAGGAGGAATGAGGGTGCGCAGGGGAGCCTGGCCCGTTGGCAAAGGAGGGATAACTTAGGAGAAGGACAAGGGCAGGAGGAGTAGGAGGAGGGGGGTGGGCAGAGGAGCCGGGGGAGGGGGTGGGAGAGGAGGAAGATCATCGGCAGTTGCCGTAGTAGGAGGAGGAGGAGGAGGAGGAGGAGGAGGAGGAGGAGGAGGAGGAGGAGGAGGAGGAGGATCAGCAGCAAACGCATGGGCACGAGAGGAGGGATGTGTATCCAACGGTCGACGCCACACCGCCGACCCGTGGGTCCTACGTGCTTCGGCGCAAGGGCTCCAACTGACCCCTGGTTGGGCCGCCCTTGCCGCTGGAGCTGACCGTGGGCACCGTGCCGGGCGTGGCGGCGGGCAGCCACAGCCTCCTGTGTGCCGGCGACGCGGGTGCCCGCGCGGAGGCCGGCGGCCCACCACGGCGTGGCAGGCAGACTGCGAGGTCGCGGCGGAGCACGGCACCACGCCGCAGGTCACGCTGGCGGCGTGGCCCGGGGACTCTGCTGGAGCCGTGTGACAGCGGCTGTTGGCGGCCCCGCGCCGCCTGCTGCAGGGCGCCGGAGGCGCGGCGCCGCCCGCGGGCGCCGCCGCGGGCGCCGCCCCTTTTGGGTGCCAGGGCTGCTGGAGCTCCGCAGGCCGTGCCCCGGGACCCCTGAGAGCTTGTTTTTGTTGTTGGCTCAGGCAAGCTCCCTGGCATGGCGTTCGCCCCCCCCCCCCCCCCTCGCGCCTCTTCCAAGGAGCACTGGCGTGCAAGCGCCCTGCGAGTTGCATGACTCTCGCACGCGCAGGTCGTTTTGCGGCGTGCTGCAGGTTCAGCTCCCCCCCCCCGGCCCATGCAGGGTAAATTTGCCGGAGCCCCGAGAAGGGCAGCCTCCTGCGGCCGTGGCTGCGCCCGCCGCCGCGGAGCCCGGGCCGGGGGCGGCTCGGGCCGCGCCGGGGGCGGCCCGCCGAGGCCCCACCCACCCGTGGTGCTTCTCCCTCGTGCTGAAGGCGGCACCCCCGCCGCATGGGTAACGGGGGCAAGCGATGAAGGAAAGGGCCCCCCCCCCCCCCCGTCCCGGTGCTTCTCCTTCGTGCTGAAGGCGGCACCCCCGCCGCATGGGTAACGGGGGCAAGCGATGAAGGAAAGGCCCCCCCCCCGTCCCGGGGGTCTAAAATGAAGGAGTGGGCACACTACTAGAATTCAGCCGCCGATGCCCCGGGGCCCACCTGTGGTGCTGCCCCTTCGTGCTGAAGGTGGCACCCCCGCCGCATGGGTAACGGGGGCAAGCGATGAAGAAAATGCCACCGACCCCCGTCCTGGGGGTCCAAAGTGAATGCGTGCGGCACACTACTAGAATTCCGCCGCCGGAAGCTGTTTTTTTTTCGAATCGTCTGCCCCCCCTGCGTTTCTTTTGCCGCCCTACGGAAACTGATTTTCTATTCGTCCTCCTGCGTCCGTTTGATCACCCGCGGCCGCGGGAGGAGGATTGCGGAGAGGGGGCGCCTGGAGCGCCGGTAGGGAGTCCCAGCGCAGATCCAGGAAATCCACGGAGGACCGCCAAAAGTTTATGTTTATGTAGTTGTTTCATCCCCGACTTATGAACCAACGTGAGGACGGCCCAACTGTCGTCCTCGCGGACGGCGGCTGGAACTTGAAAATGAGGCCAAAGCTGCCGCGGGAGCAGCGTGTCGGAAGAACCGAACAAGTTCGGATTGAACAACATATATGAACAACAAACTCCCCCAATCCTCTTTGTAAAAAACACAGCACGCGGGAGGATTCGAACCGAGCGGAAGCTCGAAAATGAGGCCAGTGTTACAGCGGGAACAAAATGCTGGAAGAGCCGAACACGTTCCGATTGAAAAACAAATGTGAGAAACGGATTCGCGCCATTCCTGTGTGTAGTTAAAAACACAATACGTGGAGGGTTGCAGGCAATCTTCCGGAGTGCATCAGGGGAGAACGGGGAATAGTATACAGATTGAATAACTGTGAAGGAACAGTAACTAGCAGGGAGAAGGTGGCAAGGGAAAGAAAATCGAGGGGAAGGAGGAGGAGGAGGAGGAAGAGAGGGAGAAGAGAAGGAAGAGGAGGTGGGGAAGGAGGTCGCTGTCTGAAGGAGGCGCAGAATGTCTGCCTTCCGCGCAGGCCTGGCGGATCAGAATGTTTTATTTCCCACTCAGGGCTAGCCAAAATTCGAATTGTCCGCCCCTGCGGACTCGAATCGTCAGCCCGCGAAGTCCTGCCCAACTTTTGCTTGCCCGGCTCTGAATTGACCCCCCGCCCCCCCGCCCTGAATTGTCAGCCCGCGCCCCCCCCTGGCGTCAGGACAACCTGGGATTGTCCGCCTTCCGTCTGCTTGCCCCGCCCCCCCGCTATTGCGGTGGCGCTATGTGCCCGCGAAACTTTTTGTTCTAATCGCCCGCCCCAGAAAGGTTATATATATATATATATATATAGACGCACTATGTATATATATATATATGTACACATATATATATATATATATATATACATGTAGCTCTGGTTCGAGCTCCTGTGGTCTCCAGAGCGGGGACGCTACGCCCAACGTCGTGCAATTCGGGATATTATGTCACACACTGACGGCTCACATGCGGCTTAAATCATGGAATCCGATGTCTCTGCAAGATTACGACAAACGCCCCGAGATTCCACGATAATTACAACATGTTGACGCGGTTATGTTCTCTGGCACCCAGACCAAGACCATCGATGCCTACGACACACACTCAACCACTGAGTTCCTCATGCTAAAGTTCGGCTGGCACCGTTGCAACAAGAACACGACTGGCAACAAATCATGTGGTACCGAGATTTGGCTTAGCAGACGATGGTTTCGGAAATCCCATATTGTGAAGGTCTGGCAGACGCGCACGGCGATTCGTGGCAGGGTGGATGCGGTGCGGGTCAAAAGCTCCCAGTTCGACTACACATTCACCACGGCGTATTTTCCACCTCGCGCTCTTCGCCACACCACGGCGACCAAGAACGAAGTGATCGTGGACAAGATCATTGCCCACCTGCACGACATCCTCGCCAGCCTGCCGAACTGCACCTGCGTCTTCATCGGAACGGACCTGAACGACGGCCTCAAGCGCGACATCTCCACGGG